CCCTGTTTTTAGAAAGGTGATGATGGGCTTAAGTTCCCTATCACTGGATTGCTCTTTTTTAAGATCAATTGGGTGATGTGCGCCGCAATGGTTTGGAAAAGTGTATCTGCTCCTGGTTTGTTTCCGTCGAGCGATGGGGCTACGGGAACCAGACAATGCGGGAACTCGATAACATTCTGAATGTCATCGTGTGTAGCCACTTCCTCATTTTTATCCGCTCAAGAGAGAGCATCGGCTACTTTGTTATGATCGCCTCCAAGCTTAATGTTATGGCCTTGCAGCTCGAGCACCCATCGTGCTAGGTTAGGACGTGTAGAGGATTTCTTTAACACGTATGTTAATAGTTTGTGGTCGGTGTGGACTACACATTCCGACATGAAAATGTACGGCTTGAATGTGTGAAATACATAAACGATAGCTGCAAGCTCCGCTTGTATGAATGGCCATTTTCGTTCACTCGCTGTTAACGACCGACTACAAAACGATATGGATTGAAACTGAGTTCTACTCCCAGTGACCAGTTGCATTAGCGCTCCTGCTTGAGCAGTCGCTGAGCAATTCGTGAAAATGTGGAATGGTTTATCATAATCTGGATGACTAAGAATTGGTTCCCTCAACAAAAAGGATGTAAGACTGTCGAAGAATTCTTGCTGCCTATGTCCCCACGTAAAATGGCGATTTTTGCGTGTTAATTCTGTGAGTGGTGATGCGATTTTAGCAAAAGCTGAATGAACTTTCGGCAAAAGCCAGCAAGACCACCAAAGCAACGCATCTGCCGAACTGACCAAAGGGCAGAAAATTTTGCGATAGCTTCTAAATTAGCTGGCGATGGACGGCAGCCTCCTTACTGGATTGTGCGGCCAAGGAATTCAATTGAACGGCGGGCACATTGGCATTTCCTAGGAGATAGCTTGAGGCAGAAGTCTTGAAGGCGTTGGAATACTCGTTCCAAATCGCTATTCAAGAACCAGAGGGGCCAGACGGCTGAAATTATAACAGAATGTTCCCTGTTCATGTACAACTTAAAGATTCCAAATTCAGTCTGCAAGCGTACATGTTCTCGCGTACGGCACTTAAAAGTTTTGACAGAAAAGTTGCTAACTCGAGAACTAGAATTTTCAGAATTTTCAGTGGATTTTTCTTACCTAAATTTTCTGCCCGCACAATAGATCAGTGCCAGTGTGAAAACACATAAACCGGACAGAGCAGGACACAACCTCCCAGTGTTTCAGCTTCCTAGCTTTTCTGATTGCTTTATTAAAAACCTGGACAAAAATCCGGAAATACATACATTGGAATGCACGTACCATTTATTGGAATGCAGCTCTCACAGAAAACAAAATAAATCATCACACAAAGTTGTGTAAAGGCAAAAATCAACAAAGCTGGGAAAAGGTACAACAGTTAAATTTGTTGATAATTAAAAGAATGAAACTTATTTTAAAAAAAAAACAGTGAAAGACAGTAAGACAGTTGACAAATCTGCTCGAATGGTTACTGTGAATTATAGGGGTGAAATACGTCCAAAGAAGGGAAGAACGAAAAATTTGTCACCTTCACCAACGGTATAAAGAAAACTTTTGACTAATCCATGAAATAAGCAGTAAGCTGGACCTTAGTCCAATTCGTCAAGCACTTTCTTTAATTCTTCACGGAAATCCGAATTTTTGACACTGCATTCTTCGACTGCTCGCCTGACCTTGCTCTTAAAGTGCTCCATCTCCTTTAACTTTTTCTCCATCACCTGCAAGAAATTTTTGCGGTACTTTTATAGCACGGCTAAATTTGCTAACCTGCATTATATTCAGAATAAACTTCCTTCTTTTTTGAAAGATCTTCCCCGAACTGTGCAAGATTACTTGTCTTTTTTCCTGTGCCTTCAGGCATATCGCTTTGAGCTCATCCCTTTCTCTCCGCAGCTTCTCCATCTCTGCTTTCAAGATGTCGTATAGCTGGCTTAAGTGGAGGATCATCGATTTATAAATCAACTTCCGTTTCTCTAACGCTTCCTTTTTAAACTTCAGCGCCTGCAAGACGTTTATATTAGAGGCACCACCACTGCATAACTAAATTCGCCAACTTCATAAAAATTCAGAAACTTTTGTATATTTAAAGCCGGTTTAAAGTTTCCAATTATTACTAACCTGTACTTGTTGTAGAGTCTGCTGGAAGGCTCTTTTGAATCTACACCTCTGACCTTCTACTCTAGCTAGTTCGAAGTCTCGTTCGGTTAACAGATCGCCGAGTTGCAATATTTGCTTCTGTGTCCCCTCCCTTTCCATCTCTTTCAATGTTTCTTTTTCCAGCGTCTGGAAGAATCATTTTCATTAGAAGTGCTTTCTTAAGTTAAATCCGCCAAATGTGAAGATTATCCGAAGGGCAGAACAAGATCAAAAGGCCGGACATTGCTGCACACGGCGAATGGGAGCATTCCGAAGGTTTTTACACCGACTGCTACCGTGTAATTGTTGTTCTCGGTATGTGCCCATTCTTTCACCTTGATTTTTTATGCGTTTTTGGCGTGCAGCGCTAGAGCGCTGCAACAGGCAGCAAAAACGCATATTGGAACGACCCTGTCAGTGTGT